TTCTACTGAATAATGCCAATGAAAAGAAAGAGCATTTTGATGAAATACAGCATCACTGCTGAATTATGATGGCTGTCTACCAGAGTAATAATGCATTAGAGAACATACTAATAGTATTTAGTAATTTTCAAAGGTTTTTTAAAAAGCCATTGACACTTTGGATCAATATAGTAACTGCATGACTTAATCCAGGTTCATTGTTTTGATTTTATAGACAAGAAAATGGAAGCTCAGAGGGATGTTACTTCTTTAAGATCATAGGCAGGTTATAGAGAGGGGATATCATGATTGGAATCTATAAATTGTAAGTTGGTCTTTTTCTATTATACCATCCTGCAATTACTTTTTCATGTATAAAGATAGGAATACCAGGGATAGTTAGTTGCAGGGAGGCATTAATTGATTTTCTTTCATTGATTCCTGAGGTTTCCCCTATAGGAAGAGAACAAAATATTTAAAAAAAAGTATTTGTAAACTATAGAAACTCCTTGATAATTCTTGATACACATTATCTGATTTTAAAACCCCAGGAGCTCCTGAATACATTCTATAGTTCATGTAGTTCCCTGCAATAGATGGCTAAGCAAGTCACCTAGAACAATTATGACTTCAGAGAATGGGATTCATCAGAAAATATCGACACAGATTTTTGTATGTATTGTGCTCAGTGGACAGCATGAAATGATCATGTTTTTCTTATAGAACAATAATGATCCCCAAATCTCAGACTATTAACACAAATGGACTTAGAAACTATTCAGAAAGATTCTGACCAACTCAAGAGGCATTAATTTAAAGTAGATATGTAGGACTGAAGCCAGCTCAGCACTTGCTGCTCATGCCGATGACAGGTTCAATTCCCAGCACCTAACATGCCGTCTATTAACCATATGCAAGTTCCATGTGATCTCACACCACTCTGGTCTCCATGGGCACTGCACACATGTAGTGTACAGACAGACATACATGCAGGAAAATATCTATACAAATGCAAAATTTACAACAAAAAGAAATTAATCTTAAGAGTTGTTATAACATTATAAGTTTTGTATTGGAGAAGTAATATTGTGTTTGTGACTGCTAATTATGAATCAATGCCTTCAATTACAGAGTGCTCAGAATTGAGAAACTGATGAATCTAAACATTTTTAGATTGTAGGTTAGAAATATTTGATACATCATGGAGGTAGCTGTCTTTTTTTTTTAAAGAAAAGTTACCATTTTCTATTGATGTGTGTGTGCCTGAGTGTAATGCAGTACAGTACATGCATAGAATTACCCTCAGAGATCAGAAGAGGGTGTCAGATCACCTGAAATAGGAGTTGCATGTGGTAGTGAGCTGTGTGGGAAGGATCCTAGGTCCTCTGTAAGATCAGCAAATTCTCTTAACTGCTGAGCCAGTTCTCCAGCCCCAACATTTATTTATTTATTTATTGGTGTGTGTGTGTGTGTGTGTGTGCGTGTGTGTGTGTATGTGTGTGTGTGTGTGTGTGTGTGTGTGTGTGTGTGTGTGTACATTCACATGCATGAAGGAAAAAGAACAAATGTCAGGAGTCAGTTCTCTCCAATTAAATGTTGGCACATAACATTGAACTCAGGTCATCGGGCTTGATAGCAATTGCCCTCTTTGAGACATCTTGATGGCCCTGCTCTTTTGAATGCAAGATAGACAATGCCTATGCTATACTTCTAATCACCTAGTTTAAGAGACCAATGGACCAGGAAAGTCAGTGTCTTCGTTATGGTTTCTATTGCTGTAATACAACGTCATGACCAAAAACAACTTGGGGAGAAAAGGGTTTATTTCTTCTCATAGCACTCAGGTCACACTCCATCATTAAGGGAAGTCAGGGCAAGATCCTGGAAGAAGGAACTGGAGCAGAGGCCATGACAGAATTGTGCTTAGTAGCTTGCTCTTCATGGATTGCTCAACTTGCTTTCCTATACAACCCAGGGATCACCATCCCAGAAGCGGCACTGCCCACAGTGATCTAGGCCCTCCTACCACAATCATTAATCAATTAGTACCTCACAGACTTACCTACAGGTCAATCTTATGGGAGTAATACCTCAGGTAAAATTCTTTCTTTTGGGAAGAAATGCTGTGTATCTTACATGAAACTCTTAAGAGCCCACCACATTACCCTTACCTACTGCCTATAAATCTATCAGTTCCTTTACCAAAACTTCTCTGTAAACCTCTCTGAGGCCTTGTTAATGCTTTAACGTCTTTCAATTGTGTATAGAAAACTTACTAAATAACAGTAAAATAGTTTGGGAATTGAAGCACTCAGGATATCTAAAAGTTACAAAATTAAAACAAATTTAGAACTGATGTTCTCTGTTATATTTTAAATATGTTTCTGTTCCTTAGTGTCTCTGTGTATGTGTGTGTGTGTGTGTGTGTGTGTGTGTGTGTGTGTGTGTGTGTGTAAAAGCATGCATTGCTAAGTTGCAAGTGGAGGTCAGATAACATCTTGTAGGAGTCGGTTCTTTCCTTTTGCCATGTTGATCTTAGGGGTTAAACTCAGATTGTCAAGTTTGCAAGTAAGTACCTTTAGTTGTGGGGTCATTATGCTGTTCTTTATTCCTTTTTTGATCTTTGAAATATTTTCTTAACTATTTAAGGCAAATCACTTCTTCTTTGATACTTGTGAGGGAAACTTGAGATATATTATCTAAATTTGTTCTGTAACATATTAAATAACTATGGATTTAAAATTAAAACTGATAAACTTACTTCTTCACTGGAAAGTTCTATGTTTGTATAAAACAAAGCCAGCTCATTATCTTGATATGGTGATATTGTACTATATCTGTTTGGTTGTCTAAACAGGCATCTAAAATTTAACAAGCCTAACTAAATTATTTTATGTTTTGGCCTTTTAAATAAAAAATACTAATATATATTCGTTGTGCATAGTGATTAGTTTCAGAAAGACAATTTCTTTCTGTTCTTTGACTATATTCATCACTCACATTCTCCCTCATCTACCCACCCCCTCCTTCTCCCACTAGTCATTTAGTTCTTTATACCCCAAACTCTAAAAGTCATTATCAACTCTTTTTTGTCTTTCATATCCTTTAATAAATTTCAAAATCCTATCAGTCATTCCTTCAAAATCCTTATAGAATCATACCAGTTCTTACCAACTGTACTGCTTCCACCATATTCCAAGCCATTATCGTCTCTTCCCTGGATATGGCCCCCTTTGAGCCTCCCTTTTCTTCCTCTTTCTACATCATTTTCAATAGAGAAGTCAAAAGGATTCTGTTAAAATGTAAGTCAAGTCCTGCCATTCCTTTATTCAAACTCATCCAATAGTCCCCATTCCATGAAGAATAAGAAACCAGGACTTTTACTTTGGCTCACAAGTCTGTCAAGTGAGTTCTAATGTCTGCCCTCATTTCCTTTCCTTCTCTTACTCTGGTTCTAGTCACACTGATCTTCTTGTGAATACACCATGTATTCTCTGTTTCAGAGGTTTTTTTTTTTTTTTTCTTCTCCCCCGCAGTTGCTTTTTTCTCCTCAGCAATCTACTTGGCTAACCTTCATTTCACTCAGGTCTCTTCCCAACTGTTCCCTTATCACAGAGAACACCTCTGTTCACTGTATAATACACTCCATTACCCTATCTCCCTGTTTCATTGCTGTATTTTTCTTCACAGCACTTATCACCACAAACTTTGTTTTCTGTTTATCACTGTTATCAAAGTAAGGCCTCCTGGAGAACAAGAAATATTCATTGAGGTCTGTCATGTACCAAGTCCTTTTGGAGGCAGTAAGAATATAAACATTAACTAAACAAACACAGATATACTTAGAGTGCTTCTATCCTAGTGTGATATAAATTGGCTGTATTTACTGAGTAAATATTTGAAGGATGTGTTGGATAAACACAGTATACACTTGGCAGAATAACAAGAATGGCTTTCAAAAAGATTTGGTTTGGCTTGTCACCTTTTAACTCATTGAAACACTCAATACATCTAAAGAAATGGTTCTATATCCTCTTAGGTGAAAGGGTAAATATCTTAGACAACTCCATGATCCTCAGGTACTCTTTATCCTCAACTCTAAGGCAGTACTAACCTCCTCTCTTCAATTGCTTCCACATTCTGGAATTGCTTCAATCATTGGCCCCTACTCACATTGACAAATGTCAGCTTAAAAATCTCATTTTCATCTTTATAAAATCATATTGCTTTGTAACCCCCTACAGACACATATCATCAGCAGATGTAGCCAGACACACTGTCTTTGAATCCAGATGGCTTTTCAACAGCCCAGAGCTATGTTTCCTATAAACCTCTGTGCCAAAGGGCTAGTGTTCTGTCAATTGACAGAATAACATTGAAATACAGCAATTCAAAGATCCTGCCCAGGAGCTACTTCAACATTTTGTCATCCCACTGAATGTACTACTAGTTAACTCAAAGCTGTTACACCAATAATAGCAATGATTTTCAGGCGGAAATCACTGTCTAGCTGAAGGGTCAGTAAACACTATCAAGTAACATTACAACACCAACATTGTGATAAATATTAGACCAGGCTCTAGAGTTATATAAAGGGAAGTGAATCCTTGTCCTCAAGGAATTTACAGAATAATGAATTGAACATAGTAACAGATACCAAATTGTTATAATTGGAAATAATATATAAATGCCAGATTGGCAAAACACGATCAGTTCCAAAAATACAATCAAATTATCTTGCTGGACATGTCAGATATGGTACATCCTCAGGAGAGAGGAAGTCCTTATGGAGAATGACCTTGATCGACATAAATGCTACAATGGCCTCCAAACATACTGAGAAGGGACTGAAGGAGTTAGAGGATGAAGGATACTTCTATTGTTAGCTCTGTGTCAAAGGATTGGATAGCATGTTAGGACTGGAGAAACCAGTGATATTTGGGTAATACATGAGATAGAAAGAGTATTTTTATTAGCATTTCATAAGTCAGAGTGATAAAGGATCACTTGAGTAGACTTACCATCTGTTCCTTCACCACTTTTGCTTCTTTTATTGCGGCGAACACGCCTACTTTCCTCTTCAGAATATGCCTTTTCATCAGGAAAGAAGAAATTCAGGAGGGCCATCTGTAAAATTAACAAGTAGATGTGTCAGAGGTTAATGCCAGTTAGCTGTATCCAACATAAAAAAAAAAAAAAAAAAAAAAAAACAACCAGCTGGCTTTCAATTGACAGTCCATCTTTACCTTAAATTCAGTATATCTAAATCTGAGTCCATCTTTCCTTCCATTTTTCAAATGACTTTAATCATAGATAGAATCATTACTATTCAAATCACGTAGGCATGAAATTTTCGTTAATCTCCGAAGTGTGTCTTTTCTGCTCCAAATAGCTCTGAGAAATCCCTTAGGTTACATTTGTCCACAAACTTCTGGGGTTTGTCACAAATTTCTAATTTCTCTTCTGCATTACTGATGGATATCCAGAACTAGCCTTGGGCTTTCTATTACCCCTTGGACATTATTATCATATATATCTGATTTTCCCATATTTTTACTGATACTCTGCTTTTAATTTGTTTCTAGAGTGGGGAACACCCAATCCTGAGGTGCCATGTATGTCAACTCTCTTATGGGAGTTAAGTCATGATAAAGTGCACACTAATTCTCTTCTGCCTTTCCCAAACTCAGTCAGAACATGTGGTCTATAAGACCAATTTCAGTGAAATAGAACAGTTGACTATTTTAAAAATTCCATTTGTTAGTTTTTTTAAGGAAAACCTAAATGTGTTATCACTCTATTACTAAGTTTTTATACTATAATGTATCTGAAAAAATAAGCCTTGTATTGAAAGGTATTCATTATAATATTTGGTCCTCTGATGTCCTATAATCATCACTTATAGTAACATAATATGCTTTGTATGTGAATGGCTCTAGTTTCACTAATGTACCATAGACTAAATATATACTTGAGGTAAAAGATGTGTATAATGTAAACAAAGGACAAAGTTTTAGACTTAAGTGATTCTAAGCCCAACTCTTTCATTTGCTAGCTGTGTAACCTTGGATGATAATATCACTTTACTCATAAGACAGTGCAGAATCCTCACAGTACCCATCTCACATAATACATAACCAATAAATGTTAGATATTGCTATTTTAAATACATTAGTTATTTGGAACTTAAAATGAATGCATTTTCATTCTGTCGTCAGCTGGAAACAATAGTAATCCGAGAGTCTTCATGTCTGGTACATTTATTAGTTAAAACAATGTGCTAGACCCAAGAAAATCCTAACAGTCTATACAAAATTTCTTCAAATACCTATGATTTATTGTTCATATTAAACAATTATATCCAGTAGCCTTAAGGAACAGCCATCTAGGAAGATACAGCCATTGATTAAATATAAAACAATAAATGAATATATGTGCTCTTTATATTATTAATCACAGCACATTAAACAAACATTTAGGTTGATCCACTTGAAATATCTATTTTTTTTCAGAGAGCCTTTGCCATTGCCATTGCTCTTTGTTTACCTACTAGAATTAGATGGTTAAGACCCTATTACTGAATACAGCACACACCTAGGTTAGAAAACACAGAGAAATAAAGCTGGAAATGATTTAGAAGCATCTTCCCTGCTAGCTAGCATTCACAATACTGGAAGGTGTTATGCAGGTGGTCTTTGCCAGCTGTGGACCCTGCATGCAGCAAAACTGATCATTCAGACAAGATGTGCTCACTGGTGTAATAGTTGAGGGCAACCAAATGCTTTTTGATTGGATTTGAGGCTGGCCCCCACAGGAGGAAATGCATGTCTAGTACTGGAAACCTGGTCAAAAGCCAATGGTTGGGGAAGTCACAGGACCTAGGGGGACGCTCACTATTTTCATGTCTTCCTAAATGAACATGCAGTCAAATTGCCTTCTAAGTATATTTATATCTATAGACTAGTGGTGCTCTCAGCCTCCGGAGAAGCTTTGTTTCAGTAGGTGGCAGTTAGTGCAGAGACTCATAACTGGTTACAGTGCAGAAAAAAGGGACTATTGAGGGCTTATTCCTAAATGAGACTCAATATTACTCCCTCCAATACTCAGGGAACATCTTGGAAGAGGGGTCAGAATGCATGTAAGAGCTAGCAGATGGGAGTGTTGTGAAATATTGTTTTCTGTATATGACATGACTGTTGTGTATAAGAACATACTGGAGTTGTAGTTACCTACACAAGATTGGGTCCTTCAATATTCCATTATGTATGGGGGAAGGGTTTATGAGGTTCCAACCCTCTTCCTGAGGAACTAATGGCTGTTGGGAGAGTCTTTTTCTTTAGTAGTGTAGCCTCTAGTAAGTTGCCATGGTCCAGTAAATCAACACAAATTAAACTCAGTGTATCACAAAATAGACATGAAAGTTGGAGCGGGGCCAGGTTGGAAGAAGAATGGGGTCATCAGGAGTGGGGATAAGCGAGGATAAGGGAAAGCAAATATGACCACAGTGCATTGTATACATGCAAGAAATTAAAAAAAAACACATGTGCACACACACACTTTTTATGTAAAAAAAATTGGAGCTTGGGGGATAGCTCAGTTGGTTATGTGTTTGTCATGGAAGCATGAGGAATTACATTCAATCTCTAGACCCCCACATAAAATAGCCAAGTGTAGTGGTACACATTTGTAATCCTAGTACTGGGAGATTCCACATGCATACATTCACACATGCACCCACAAGAACACACACACACACACACACACACACACACACACACACACACACACACACACAGAGAGAGAGAGAGAGAGAGAGAGAGAGAGAGAGAGAGAGAATTGAAATTTCAGCAATTTCACATGGTTCAATTGACTAGTATTTTGGAGTCATATGGTTGGGATATAAAATATAGTTTCCTGTAGAATCAACATAAATCTGGTTAGGCCCATAGAAATGTCACTTAAACCATCATACAAATAAGCTAATACATCATTAATAATATGAAATCAAGCTGGCATTTAAAATAAGAGCTCAATCATGCCTGATATGTTGGTCAGCATTTGTAATCCCAGCACTCTGGAAGCTGAGGCAGAAGGCATAATCAAGGTCAGGCTATGCTACTTAATAAAACCTGGTCTAGAAAACAAATAAACAAAATAAAGACTCAAACCAAACTACCAAACCAGAAAGACTGTCAATAATCTTGGGATAGAACAAGATTTTGTTTTTAATTATTTTTATGACTTCAAGTACCTGAACTTGGGCTATTAAGGATAGAATTTAGTTTTATGTTTTACTTCAAGGATTGCAGAATAAGTAGAGGCCTATTTGCTTGTACACCAAATGACCCCAGTCTACTATAATCCTGATGGGTTTTGTTATTATAATTACATTATAGATGAATACATGCTTTGTTAAAAAGGAGCATAAGATCTTCTGGGGGCAAAGAGGAAGCACCTAATATAGATTGCTAATAAATCAGGCTTCTTAGAGGACATGTTAGCATTTCAAGTCCTGAAAGATGTCAAGGATTTAGTGATAAATGAAACATGGAAAAGGAATTCCAAATGAAAGAAGTATTGTGTTTAAAATCTCAGAGGAAAAGGAGAATACCATTTCAAAAACAACAAGTAACTTAGAATAAGTGATAGGAGAGTAATGGTGAAAAATAAACAAGTATTATGGAATTAGATCATGCTAAGGAATTTATGATGGATCAACAGCAGAGGGTCATGTGAAGGATTTTTTTCCAGCCTGATTTTTTTTTGTCTTGTGGAAATCAGATATATATACATATATATGTATGTGTGTGTATACATACATACACACACACACACACACACACTCACATTTACCAATAATAAAATGTTATTTTAAATCAGGTGATTTGATAAATGTACACATCTTTGTACATTTGTACAACCTTGTGTAACCTCGACCTAGCTCAAGATACAGAACATTTCCATTAGACAAGTTTCCCTTCTATTCATCCTCATACTGTCCCCAAGTCACCTGCAGCTTTAATTTCTATCATCACAGTTTGTTTTTTCCCATCCTAGGCTAATGTCTCATATATGAGCAAACATAATTTTTCATTCAATAGTTCTATGACATTAATTTCATATATATATATGCATTTCATTACCTTTGAATAATTATGAGTATGACCCCCTGCTGTTGATTCAGCATGAATTCCTTAATATATTTTATTATAAGACTTTGTCCCTTAAAATTTTTATTTTAAAGTTTTATCTTTGATGGCATTATACATGGATAGAATGTATTTTCATTATATTTTCTCCATTCATTTCTCTTTTCTTCCCATTCCTCTGAAACTCTTCTTCCTAACATGCCTTCTTCCTAGTGTCATGTCTTTATTAAAAATTTCTTTTCCTAACTCTTTTGGGTTTTATCAGGGTTGCTTCAGGGTTGCTTGCATGCACATGGGTATGGTGTTACTAATGAAGCCTGGGCTTCTTACCAGTGGCTAAAACCCTGGAGAAAAATACTTTCATTTTGTTTGAAAGAACCCAAGAATGGAACCTCTGGGTTATATGATGTGTCAAACAGCTTTCTAGAGGGCTTGCAGCATTTTATGTGCCCACCAACAATGTATATGAATCCTACTACTCTATCTTTACTAATATTTGGTAATGTCAGTAATTTTTATTTTATCCATTCTTGTAGACATAAAACTGTTTCATTGCACCTGTCTTTCAAGTTCTGAAATTTCTTTTCTGTCACCTTGTTGTCAACTACCAGATTTCAAGTCACCTACCTATGACATATTCTTTAGGTCCTTCAAATTTGCTACTACAGGCTTGACATCTAATTAAAACACCAATTAGGCTCATGTAGAAATAATAAACAGGCAGCAAATGTAGTTTTTAATGGTGCTTTCAGTAAGATGCACATTGCCTGGGTTGGAAACTATTTTGTTTACTGCTTGAATTGTGGCTGTAATATGAATCTGTCTATACCCAAATTCTAGAAGGGTAGGTTATTACAATATGATGCTATTCCTCATAAGCACAACTTCTGTGTGAGGTCTGGTATGGAATTTTGTGTGTTCTTATAATCTGGCTGTGGCAGAAAGAGAAGATATTCACATGTTAACTGTTCCAAAATG